CTGAAAAAATATGTATTAATGCCATACAATCTAAATACTTTTACCCCTTAATCATTAAACAAAAAATTAGCATCTTATTCAACAGACTACAATTTTAAAACTATCATGCTTGTAATTTCATAAAAGTCTATTTTAATTAATCCAAAGTAGTAAGTGAAAGAATACATACACATACAATAGGTAACAGAATTAATATGTGGCATATTTTAGATATACTTTAAGAATTTTTTATAGTTTGACAAGAAGTTACTTCAGGATAAGATCCGTATGTTTCTTACATTTTTATTCATCCAATATCCATTATACCTCATAGGTAGTAGTATACACAAGTTTGTTAAGAAATATTTGTTTCATTAACAAAGTAATTGATTCGTGACATTTTTTGGTTGTTTTAATTCTCACCTGAGGATATTTTTCCATTGATTTTTTTAGAGATTACGAGGGAGGGAGGAAGTGGGAGGAGGGAGGCAGAAACATCAACGGGATAGACACACATGGAGTGGTTGCCTACCATATGCGCCCCAAGCAGGGCTGGTAATCAAACCTGCAACCAAGGCATGTACTCTTGACCCAAAATGGAGCCTGTGACCCTTCATTCCTCGGGCCGATGCTCTCTAATCACTGAGCCAAACCAGCCAGGGCTGACTAGTGGCATTTTACTATTTATACTCACTCCTTCATAGTGGCCATTTCTTCTTAGACTTTATGCTGTTATTTGGTAATCAAAGTCCACATTAAGCACTATACTTCCATTGCCAATAGTACAAGAGAACAAACAATATTTTCTTTCCTGCCCATCTCAATGTACTTGCTGTAAATTCACACCTCTAAGACAAGGTTCTTAACCTGGTATGCAGAAGAATTAAAAGAGTTTGTGAACTTGGATGAGAAAAAATTATACTCTGATCCTCCCTATTCTTGTAAGTAAAATATAGTAATTCCTTCAGTAAAAAGTTGGGGAAAAAAAATCTCTGCTTTTGTCACCAATAAAAGTCACAGATATTTTCATGTCAAGTATTATGAATATCTCAAAGTATTGATTATGATACCTTTCAAAGCTACAGATATTATTAGCTCCACTGATTATGCAATGCATCAGAATATATATATATATCTAATTAGTATCTCTTTGTATATATTTTTACATATTCATATATATGTATATTAGTATATGTTAAAATATTTTTAAAAATTTTGTAACTGCCCTTACCGGTTTGGCTCAGTGGATAGAGCATCAGCCTGTGGACTGAAGGGTCCTAGGTTCTATTCTAGTCAAGGGCATGTACCTTGGTTGCAGGCACATCCCCAGTGGGGATGTGCAGGAGGCAGCTGATGGATGTTTCTCTCTCATTGATGTTTCTAACTGTCTATCCCTCTCCCTTCCTCTTTGTAAAAAATCAATAAAATATATATTTAAAAAATTTGTAATATTTTATTATGACTAATTTATTTTGTATTTCATTTTATGCATTTTGAAACATCATATTTAAGAGTGACATAGTGTGGGAAAAGCCCTGTTTTAAAAATAAAAAAGATTAGGAATGCATATTCTGTTGACTTGCTCTGTAATAAATGTGTAATCTGCTTATTGGGATTACAATCATATCACATGATATTCTCCAGATAACATATTTCATTCTAGCAAGTTCCTTTAGGAGATGCAAAATCTTCACTCAAGGATGAGAAAAAAGGCCCGTCAGGCTCTTTTAATTTATACCATGTAGATGGTTTTCTATTTTTCTTTATATCAATGCATCTCATTGGTTTTGCCAAAGCATGTAGGTTCCTTCCTATTTTCATCGATATGCTAACAGTTACAAGCAAGTTTTGGATTTTTATGAGAGTTTAAACACAGATATCCTATACTGTGTTTTGCAATACAATTTATGGCTATGAATTTGGTTGTATAGAACATACTTCTTTTTTGATATTAATAAAATGACTACACATGGGAACTTATTAAAAATTTAGAAAATGTCAGGTGTTCACTATGTCCATTGCTTTGCATACTAAAGAATGAAATCTGATGTCCTGTGACCACTTCTACTCCCCAGTAGCTTTTAAATCTGCTCTTAAATTATTTTAGAATACCAAGCTCATGAAAGTGATGACAGAAAAATATTTCTCAGATTTTTATGACATGTACAATCTTCTCAGATCAATATTCCCTCTCCTCCAAAGTCATCCTAACCACAGATTAATACTTTGACAAGCAATGCATTCTCTTATTCTTTTTAAGAGAGAATCACCTAGTTATTTTCATTGACTCTTTAAGCCAGTGTTATGTTCTTTTTCTCCCCCTCACTTGTAAGTGAAAAGGAAGGGCAAAATAAATCTGACCCTTTGGTCTATTTTCACAATCATTTCCATCAGGCTCTAGTATCAATATCCTGGCTGGAACCTATAGCTTTAATGCTTTTACATATAAGGAGAGTACAGGAAGACTCTTTGAAACCACTTCCTTAATTGAAATTTGCTAAGAAAGTAGCAAATTTACCACAAAAAAGTACACATTTATTGAATCATCAAGTTTTGCACTTTAAAAAGAACTTATAATTTTGTTAATTATATTTCAATAAAGTAGGGAATAAATAAAAGTAAACCTGCTTCCACTAACCTTATTTCTAACTTTTGAGAGGGTTAAGTATAAAGAGCATAGTAAAAGATAAACTACAAACATTTAAAACGAAGACATGTAAAACAAGGAAATAATATTAAGAAAAACATCAGAAGTGAGAGAACAAAAATTAGAAAACAAAAAAGGATGAAAAAGTGAAAAAAGAAAAAAACAGAGAGGAATAAAAAATAAGGACTAAGAACAGCCAGGGAAAATATAGAAGATATGAAAGGAGTGGAAGCTGGAGGCAATATAGTTAATAAAATAAAACCAGAAGCTAAAATTATATCAAGAACCATTTATTTCTAAAATGAAAGTGTAATAACCAGAGACAGACTTTAAATGGAGTTTGAGGATTTGAAATATAAAGATAGCACTATATATTTTGTGAAAAAGGAGTTTGCTAATAAAATTGAACTTAAATAACTTGTGATTTGCACTTTATAGAAATTTGATAACTTTCTTGAGTATAAAACTTTACATGTCCAATCCTGACACGATATATTTGTTTTTGAGTATTACTTTAATGTAGCTATTCAAAAGGTTACTGTGTTTGTACTTATGAAACATACTAAACAGAAGTATCTCTAAGAAAATTTACTACAGAAATATTAGGAATCATCAGCTATACCTAAATTCAGATAGTATTATTAAAATGTTTACATTCAAGAAAAATTCAGAGATAAGGCCCTTATGATACTATTATTTTAACTGGGAATCTATACACTTCTAAAAGAGTGCCGCAGTTGGGGAACCATAGAATATGAGGAAGAAAAATACCTACATGTCATTGCTAGGTTGCTAAGTATATATAATATGTATTTCTGGAAACTTAAAACATCCATTAAATATGGGCTGTTCATTCCTTTTACTGACCAGTACACTGTCAGGCAATTTTTTTTTTTTTAAAGAATACACATTTTACAAAAGCAATTATCCATTTTTATTTTGTTTACATTGCACTGAAAATTTACATCATACTTTTACAAAGTTTTTTTTTCCATAAAAATATACTTCTTTACAAAAGTGTATGCATTAATATAAGAGGAGTAGCCAGTCGCAGAAGAAACATTGTTTAAACAAGATCTTAAATGTATTAACCTTAACATTAATGGATGAATCATTGTTATTGCAGTCATTTGAATAAACAAGAATAAATAACTGATGGCATAAAATTTAAAACAGCATCCTGTCAGTAGAGTACAATGTTGAGAAAATTGTATGAATTTCCAAAACAAAGTATCTCAAAGTGGTTTACAAGAAATTCACTAAATGTGGTAGGGGTAGGTCCAAGCATGGCGCTCCGGGTGCAATGATTTCTCTTAGGCACTCTGTCTCGTGATACAAAGAGTCAAGACTGTTTACAGAGTTATCCATACTTGAAAGGGACGACAACAGAGAACTCACACTGGGTACATAATTTACTCAATGAAGTAAAACATGCTATTAAAGGAGGACAATGACCTATTCAACAAAAATGCTGGCATTACTGTGATACAGTTGTAAGTGAGCCACCAATAACTTGCAAATGCATGTCTTAATTTGACAGTGAGAGAAACCTGGTAAATCCACAACTTTAGAGAAAAAAAAATGAAATTGGTGATTTAAAAGAGTAGATTTTGTTTTTTTTGGTCATTAAGTTTAGGGGCTCGTCCAAATATATGTCTAACTCGTTACATAAAAGTTCAAAAAATGTTAAATAAATTTGAAGGCTCAACTGGGAGGACGATGTAAATGTTATAAACTAATTACAATAGATTAATATGTTTGATTTGGTCTTTCAAAAACATTAGAAAGTTTGTTTAAGGATGATAAGCTTGGTGTCTCAGATAACTGCAAATTCATCATTATTATAGGTAATTTTTGCCAGCTAAAGTGGTTTCTGGATGACATAATTGATTGAAACAAGGAGTTAAACACTACCCCCATGGCTCACTGAATACTGGTGGTCACAACAAAACGAGGGAAATCGGGAGGACAGCATGATGATCTTGCCATTTGCAGAAATTATATAAACATGAATAGCAATAAGATCCTAAAGAACAAAAACTAGAAAGTCAAATCAGAGTGGGCAATCTTCTCTCTCTGTGGCATAAATTAGCTCATAAACATTTCAGGGCTTGACTCAATCTCAAATATCCATGGAAATAAGGAAATCAATGACTCAATTAACAAGAACACACAGCTGATAGAGTGGTGTGAAATACAGACTTATGGGCGTCATGTAGCACAGGATGGTTAAAGAGAAGTCAGTGAAACATGAAGAAGAATTATGGTCCAGTTTATGAAAAAAACACTCTTCTCTCTCATTCCTCGGGAAAAGGTGACCCAGCAAGTCCTGAAAAGTGTGCTTTAATTTTTCTTTTTTTTTTCTTTTTTTTTCACCAGTGAACTAATGTGCACTGTTTTGGGTGTCGACTTCCAAGCTTCTGAAGAAGGCTGTCATGTTATACCATCGTGCAGACCGTGTTCAAATTGGGATCGAATCGCACAGCCTTCCCTTCCACGGACTTGGCACTGGTGTCGTACATGGGGTTTTCAAACGCTGCTTGGCCATTGTTATTTTCATGAACCGAACAGCCTGTGTACTGTGTTTTGGGTGCAGTCCTGTTGATGAGAACATTGATTAGCTATGCGTCAACTTTCTCCTAGGAACAGCAGCGTGGAGTGCAAACATAATATGCTTGAGTTCTCATGGTTAATGGATAATGTAACTTAAAGGTATTTACTGACAAGTCACAAATTCAATACATCCGATTTGAATAATTTACCCGTCATTTTTAAATCCTGAGTGCCTTTATTTACACATAATACCTATTTATATACTGTACTGAATTGAGCAGTACGAGTATAAATAAATGATATATTATGGCTATCATACATTTTCTTATAAATATTAAATTATCATTATGAATTAGTATGTATATTATAAATACATTGTGATGATGATGATGATGAATTTAAATCGCATTACTATTCATTCATTCATTCATCAAATATTTATTGAGCATCTATAATAGGCCAGGCATGATCCTAGGCATAATCATTACTCTCATGGAGCTCATACTGTAGTGACAGGAAAAATTAAAAATACATAAAACAAAAAATAATAGCTACTCAGAATTATTCTGATGAACAGAAAAATGGTTGCTCTGATAGGAAGTAACTGGGAGCCACAGGAGGTAAAATTTAATCTGAGACTTGAAGGACCAGGGGTTTAGCTGGTTCTGCACTAAACAGACGGGGACTCCAGGAGAGCAGACAACTGATGCTGAGACCTGACCTGAGAAGGTATTTGGATTGTCGCTAAGACAGAAATATGTGATTTGCTTAGAAATGTTATATCTTAGCGCATGTGCCTTCAAAATCTCAAAGAAAGGCTAGACTGATACTCAAGTCATGAAAATAGTTTCCAAAGAGTTACTGAGGGCTGAAAGTTTGTCTTTAGTTAATAAAACACATAGAGTCTAGGCTGGCTGGTGTAAGTTACTGTTTTGCATTCCCGCTTCATATATATTTTTTTTATTTCTCTCACCTTTGACTAATGCTTATTTCTAATTTCTCTTTCCCACATGCCACTGCATAATTTGCTGACATTTGTAATGGAACAGAAGCAGACTTGTCCCTACTTGTTTCTGAGACCTAAATCCTAAAAAAGATATGTATTAAAATAAATGTTTCTCAACTCTTTTGTTTATACCAAGCACCACAAATTTAAACTATATTTTATCATAATTTATATTTGACATTACATTGCTTTACTATCCCTAATGCATTTTCTGAACTTTTTTCCTAAACTAAAAATTGTTAGGTACTTTGCAAAACAATATTGAAAAAAACCAAAAAACAAGTGAAGAGCTATCTTAAGTTTCTTTCAGAGGCATCACCTATATAGTTGCTTACACTTACTCTTGCCAGGTGCATAAAGAGTCAGATTTGTCTCTCTCTTTTTTTTTTCCAAACTAGATTCACAATAAAAAACTAGAAGCAGCATAATTTCCTTATAAAAAGGTAAGAACCATAAAGATGTAAAGAAATTTACTTTTGCTAATATTGAGCAACAGCTTAAGAAAAATATCATCAAACTTTACAAAAGAAAAGTTTGTACCATCAACAAAAATTAAGTTGAAATGAATTAAAGTTTTAAATATATGAGTTAAATCTATAAAACTTTTAGGAGAAAACATACATGATCCTGAATTTGGCAGTAGTTTCTTAGATATGACACTAAAAGAACAAGTAACAATAGAAATAATAGATAAATCAGATTTCATCAAAATGAAAAACTTTTGTACTAAAAGGACACGATTAAGATTCTCTCTCTTCATTGATGTTTCTATCTCTCTCCCTCTCTCTTCCTCTCTGAAATCAATACAAATATATTTTTAAAGATAAAAGAGAGAGAGAGAGAAAGAGAGAGAGAGAGAGAGAGAGAGAAACCCAGCTGGTATAGTTCAGTGGTTGCACGTCATCCCATGCATCAAGACGTCACCAGTTTGATTCCTGGTTAGGACACATGCTTGGGTTGTGGGCTCAATCCCCAATAGGGGTGTGCAGGAGGCAGTTGATCGTTATTTCTTATCGATGTTTCTCTATCTCTCTCTCCCTTTCCTCTCTAAGAAAATCAATAAAAAAATGAGAGACAGAGAGAGTGGAAATACACTCTGGCCTGTGTGGCTCAGCTGGTTGTGTGTTGTCCTGTGCACAGAAAGGTTGCTGGTTCAATTTGATTCCCAGTCAGGGCACATGCTTGGGTTTCATTAGAGGCATGCGGAGGCAGCCTACTGATATTTCGCTCTTACAGATATGTTTCTCTCTCTCCCTCTTCCATCCTCTTTCTCTAAAAATCAATTTTAAAAATGATTTTTTAAAAGAGAGTAGAAATACAACCCACAGAAAGGGAGAAATATTTGCAAACCATATAACTGTTAACAGTCCAATAGTCAGAATATATAAAGCATTATTACAACTCAACAAGAAGAAGACAAACAATCCAATTACAAAATGAGCAAAGTATTTGAATACACATTTCTCCAAAAAGATGGACAAATGGTCAAAAGCATCTGAAAAATGCTCAATGTCATTAGTAATTAAGGAAATACAAATCAAACCATAGTAAGACAGCACTTCACGTACACAAGGATAGCTATAATTTTTTTTTTTTAAGAAGGAAACAGAACATAACAAGTTTTGGCAAAGATGTGGAGAATTGAAATAGGTATCCAAACTAAAACCTATATCAAATGTATATAGTAGCACTATTCACAGTAGTCAAGTGCTAGGAACCATACACATGTCCATCAGTTGATGAATGGACATATTCAAACAGAACACATTAAAACATACAATGAAATATTATTCAGTCTTATAAATGAATAAAGTATTCATGAAGCTATTACATGGATGAAATTTAAAACACTTTTAAGTTATTATGCTGAGTAAACTAGTCAGAGAAAGACAAGTATCATATGATCTCACTCATATGTGGAATCTAATGAACAACATAAACTGATGAACAAACAGATCCAAAGACATAGAAGCATGGAACAGATTTTCAAACCTAAGTGGGAAGGCAGGGGAGGATGGGTGGGTGGGAAGA